TATAAAGTTGTGTTGTATAAGTTGTTGTGTAAAAGTTGTTGTTGTGTATAAGTTGTTGTGATAAGTTGTGTTGTATAAGTTGTTGTGTTGTTGTGTGTATAAGTTGTTGTTGTATAAGTTGTTGTTTAAGTTGTTGTTTTAAGTGTTGTATAAGTTGTTGTTGTTGTTGTGTTGTATAAGTTGTTGTTGTTGTTGTTGTTGTTGTTGTTGCATGGGATCACTGCCCCAGCAGCGCAGGGTAAGAGCAAGCTTCCAAAAGAAGAAACTGCTCGCCACATTGCACCACCATCACTACCATCACCACCATCGTGTGTATGTCGCGCATGCAACTTAACGCCATTGACCACAAAACAACACCGCCCAAACAACAACGACGACAGGTGCAGCAGCGACAGCGACTACGGCGGTACAGTACCAGTGTGCATGAGGATGCCATTGCGGACGTTGGGGATGAGGAACTTGGCGTTGCCCTTGAGGCCCATGACAGCGCGGTTAACTGGGTAGGGCCCGTAGAGACGGGGCACGGGCTCCGGGCTGTTGAGATCAAACTCCATCAGGCCCGTCGGGGTGTTGCCGTCGGAAGCGAAGCTGGTCAGGCCGTCATCGGAGTTGTTGAAGTCCGGCCAGGGCTTCTCGCAGTCGCATGCGTCCCAGCCGTGCAGACGCGCGGGGAATGTGAACAAGAGCGTGCCGTTGCCGGCGTACAGCTTTCCAATTGACTCGATGCTGCGGTTGCGATGCACGTCAATGACCACCTTGTACTTGTACCCTTGCGACTCAGCCGTTTTGCCGTCATCCACATAGTGGTCGCGCGTGAGCTTGTTCATGACAAACTTGGCGGTCCCAAGGTTCATCTCGCCAGTCACTTCGAGCTTGTTGTTGCGCTGCAGTGTGCGCGTGGCATCGACGGTGGCCGTGTCAAACTTGTTGTTGATGGGGAAGGTCAGGTTCAGTGCACGGAACACCAGAAACTGGTAGATGCCCACGTCGTTGCCACTGTCGCCCTTCTTGAGGGAGCGAGAGAACGGCGGCGGGTAGTCTGATGCAGCCACATGCACGCCCTGTGCGTGGTGCAGCAGCGCAGCCGTGTTCACGCGTGCAGACACGGGCGCAGCAGCTGCACTGCTGCCACACGCCACCGCCACAACAACAGCAACAGCGACGGCTGCTGCCACGATCGCAGCAGAGAAGCCTGATGCTCGCATCGTCATCGTCGCTGTCGTGGGAACAATCCAAGTTCGGAGAAATGGCGAATGATTTCAACTACTTTTCGGCGCAACCATGGCTGAGAGGACAACAACAACAAGGAACGCCGGTGGTGGTGGTGGAGAGGAAGATGCGCTGGCATACCTGCAGCGGCATTGTGTGCAGGAACGGCTGTCTGCGGCGCTGTTGGCAGCTGCAAGTGAGACCATCTCGTTCGGAACGCCGCCCATGACTGCCGTTGCAAACGCCCTCAACAGCAGTGAGTGTATGAACCTTGTATATGTCTGTAGCTTTGTGTGTGTGTGTTGTGATAGTGTGCGAGGTTTGTGAGAGAGCTTTGTGTGTATCCGTGTGTGCGCGGTGTGTGAGAGAGCTTTGTGTGTGTGTGTGTGTGTGTGTGTGTGTGTGTGTGTGTGTGTGTGTGTGTGTGTGTATGTGCATTTATTTCTCTGTGGTGTGTGTGAATGTGCGTGCTCTCCTGATCCTCCTGTCTGCCTGTGTCTGTGCATGTACCTGCGTATGTATGCATGACGGTCATCGCACGCTTGGCATTAGGTTGCTTCGTCTCACCCTTGTGCTGACAGACAAACCACAGGATCTGTTCACGTACCGCACCCTGGCCACGAACGCAAAGAGCAGAGTGAGGTTCTTGCAGCTCTTCAATGCCATGTGCAGAGACTTGCATCCAACCAACCCTGCACTAACTGGCACGGAGTATCTTCAGCTCCTTCGCCTCATCTGCCCTGTAAGCTACAAATTTGTTCCGAATATCATTGCCCAATGAGGTGGTGAACTGCGTTGCTGAATGCTTCATTGCTTGGGCACCTGACATGCCCTCAACTGCTCGCGCTTTCTGCATCCCCAGGACTTTCCTTCCTCTGTCATCGAGGACGTCTTGAACATCCTCCTCGTCGAATGTACGTGTGTCTAGCCGGTATGAGTGTGAGAGTGAGCACGACAATGAATAAGCGTATGTGCGTGTGTGTGAATGTGCGTGTGTGTGAATGTGCGTGTGTGTATCTCTCTCCCACCTGCTCTTCTCCGCCTGGGTGTGCACTCAGCATCAGTTGCTCAATTCATGTGCCATCACTCCCTCGCCCTGCAATGCATGCTCCGCGTGCCCAGGCTCCTGGGAGTGTTTCCTAGATGCCAGCGACTTTCCAAACGTGTTCAAAGTGTGTTTGTCTGTGTTTGTCTGTCTGGCTGGCTGTTTGTCTGTTGTGTGCGTGTGTTACGTGTC